TCCCAAGATCAGCAGCACCCATGCCAGCAGAGCCACAAAGTACGAATCAACCCCGAGATCGCTTACACCCTTTAAGATAGCACACACCTGTTGATGCAAATCCATTATTAGGAGATATTAAAGAAAGAGGAAAAACAGGGGAATTAAATATTAAAAAAGAAAATGATGCAACTAAAAGAGAACCCTCAACTCTCTTCGCTCAGCTAGGCCACACCAAAAAGTGCAGCAGAGGAGGAGGACTAAAAGGTAAGAATGTCACATGTCATTAATTGCAATAGGAGATCTAAGCAGAGCCTTTACTAACTTGCAAGGATTTCACATGTTCAATACATGGATGGGTTCCTCACATACCACACCTAATGCACTAATCAATGGAATGCTGAATGATTGAGATTTGAAAGACAACATACCGCAATTGCATATATTGCTGAGAGTACAAAAATAATTCCAGCCAGTAGACGAGTGGAGATGGTTTCTACGAACACCGCAGAGAGAAGATTACGTTTTAGAAGCTCATATGTCATCCTTGCAGAAGAACAGTAAGATTCACCAGTTATTGCCGCAAAGTTGACTGTAAACTTGTTGAGGAAGTCAATCGCTGAGAATAAGGCATTAACACAGCAGCGTAATACAAAATTCACCATTCCAGGTGTACCCTCTCGTCTTGCACCATCAACCATGGCACGCACCACTCGAACAACAGATAAAAGCAATCCAGATACACATACTGTGCCAAAGGAAGGGCCAAAGGCATTTCTGCAAGTGTTTACAGGAACATGAGAAAGGAAGATCTTATCGTGAACACAAATGACATGTACAGTAATGCATAAATCTTGGCTGTGATTAATATGTCAACCAATTCCCCCAGAGAAAAAAAAAGAAGAAGATAAAAAGAACATCACATTGACCAGATTAATATTCTCACAAGCATATGATTTGATTCACGGACAAAACAAAGAATAAAGAACATGATTGAAAAGTAAGAATAATTGTATCAAGAAAACAAATTTGTAAAAAAACAAGAAGCAGGTACCCATCTGACTCAATGAAGACAAGCTAAACAAAGATTGCCTAGTATCTATATCACAATTGGAAAATATTTACATTAAAGACAATATAGTCATTCTGACGGGTTGGTTCAGAATAGGTGGAACTTAGAAAACAAATTGGTGGCCCACCGGCCTCCCAGACAAAAATGTATACAGATTACCTTCCCTACAAGGGATTAATATACATACAAACATTGTTTGCAAGTAAATTGACTGTGTTTTCCTAGCCTATTGAAATTCAACAGAGTGAATCACCAACTTTACAAAGCTCTACTACTCTGTTTCATCTAGTTTGGAGCAGTGTACATTTCAATTGCAAGTTTCAACTACCTTGAAGAATAACAAAGATATATATGAACTTATATAAATCACTCTAAACATAGAAGAAAGACAAAAGAAAGTAGCAAGAAATAGTTCACCTTAAAGAACTTCTAATAATCCGCCTTGGAGTTGAATCCTCCTTAGTGAAGTACCACTGAGCAACAGTCCCACTAATCACATACACCTGAGCTTCCACCATAGTAGTTAGAGACCACAACATAGTGAGAATTGCCAATGCATAATAAGCAGGCACCCAACCATCTTGCTTCCACACACAGGTATACACATCGTTCGATTCTCGGGGCACAATCTTCCCATTCAACCTCGCAAACACCAAGAACACAACAATGGGAGCATAGTAAACCACCAATGCCAAAGTCAAACATGGCAAGACTCCAAACAAACCCAAGTTCCTCGAAAGTGCATCGGAGGCCACCCTAATTATGCTCACAGTGAGATCAATTCGATGCCGATTGACCACAAGAATCCACACAAGGACCCCAATTACCAAAAACACAAATATCAAAATCAAAATTCTGTAAAGTAAAGGCAATGCATCGCTGCAAGTTGAGCTGAGAGTACAAGCAACGAACCAATACACGTTGAAGAAAATTGGGAACACAATGAAGAAGGGGAGAAAGACATAGACAACTTGCTTAGCGTAGCGCTTGAGAAGCAACAGCAAGCTGATGCAAATGGGCAAGCTCAAAATCAACGTAATTACGAGGGTCCATGTTAAATCTTTGAGAAAAGACGAAGAGGAAGAAGAGAAAGTGAGGAGGACCCAGTTGGGGTGATGGGTCAAAGTGTCATTTTTGACGCAAGAGGTGGAGTCAGAGTCGTAGACGAAGGAGGCGAGGTTGGAGTAACTGGTGTTCCGGTGAAAAACGGAGAAGATTCCGAAGGCGAAGGTGGCGAGGACGAAGAGGACGAAGATGATTAGAAAGGGGAGGTCTTTGAAAGGGCGTGGGCCGTGGTTGTAGGAGATCTGGAGATACTGCGTCGGGTCGGATTCTGAATCGGGTTGGTCGGTGTAAGACGGCGGTGAGGATGGTGGCGGCGGTGGGTCGTCGATTGGGTTGGGGGGCTTGGAGAGGAGGGGTGCGGAGGGAGACGACGAGTCGTAGAAGGAGATGGGCCTGTTGGTTTCTTCAGAGCCGCCCATCGGAGCTCAGAGAGAGAGAGAAGGAGATGTTGGTTGGGGTTTGGGTTTGGGTTTAGGGAAGGTGGAGAAGGAAGATCATTTTGGTTTCGTTGACTGTTAAGCTGAAAGTGCGTGGAGTAGTAGATGATGATGAGGATGATAAGCCTCACACAGAGTATGAGTTGGCAATTCCCAAATACAAATTTTGGTCGGTTGGAACAGTGGACTTTAGTAGGGGAGAAGCTCTTGCTTTTACACTTTCTTTTTTTAAATTTGCTCGTTAAAAACGTTATTTTAAAAAAATTACATCGAAATTTAATTAAAAATTCAAGTGTGTTTTCTGAAACATTTGAGCTTCGTTTAAATGGAGGAATTTTAAAGAAATAATTTGAATTTAGTATGAAACTAGGATAATTTTCGGTTGAATGTATTTGAAATAACCAAACAATTTATAGATTGCAATAGTTTTTTTATAAAAAAAATAACTTTATAATGCCATCTAAATTCCTAATAATTTCGATGTAATTTATTAATACAATAAATTTCAACAAAAGTGCTTATATATAAGCATACTTCCTAAACATAGCACTCTTAAAACAAAAGTGCTTTAGAAATCAACTGTTTTGAGTTTGAAATTCTGTCCATGATAATTTGTATTGCAAAAGTAATTAAATGGAAGCTTAAAACAGCTTTTAGTTATATATTGAACACAAAATAAGCACCAAACACACAGAGTGAGGTCCCTCCTCCTTCCCCCTGCTTCGCACCCAGGATCGAAACCCCAGATTTCTTTTCTCCAAATGTAACCACACACAAAAAAATCCTAACCGATTCCATTTTTGGTCAAGTATATCTGAATTCATTATTTATATCATATATAGAGACATTAGCCACATGGCTGTAGACTATTGATAGCCCCCTGGCAGGCATAACTGCCAGAGATTCATTGTTTTCAAGTTTTCAACTTTGATGTGTCTATGTCTGATCTGATTGTCTTATAAATATATGCATTCCTTTCGTTTAATAACATGCATCCAACAGCCTTTAACTCAACATCTTGATAATGACATGGTTTATGTTCAGATACGAGGACAACTTAATGGTCCTATTCCTATGTTATTTTCATAAATCTTCATTATTTTGTTGTGATTAGTCGTAGGACCTAGTATCAAGTATGATTTAGCTGCAGATTAAATGAGAGGAAAAAAGAGAAGAAGAAAAATATTCTTGTGATCGGTCTCGAGTATCGATTTACAAACAGAATTCAAGAAACTATGTAAACATGTCGCCGTCCTATGTGTTACACATGAGTAATATTACACGCACCAACTCTTATCTAAACTCTCTCAAATAATATCAGCGTTTACATGGTTTCATAAGCTCATGGCAACAACAAATGGGAAGTCATATTGACAACAATAAATGCTTGTCCTTTGAAGCTACTTCAATGCCTTCAAAAGCAAACTTCAGAATGAAAGTCAAATATACAAGCCTGGGAAAAATGAAGGTAAACGAAAAAAGGAACGATGGTTTCTATTCGGTTCCTCACTTCCTCTACAACAAACATGTTTTGTATTAACAACTGCTGCCAATTACTGCCAATTACAAAAAGAAAGTGTAATATATCCAGGAGAAAAGCCCAAGACTAGTGAAACTTTGGTAAAAGGGGCAAAAGTGTATCAGTCATCTAAGAATCAATCTAGTAAGCTCAAAGTAAAAATTCTTTGTAAAAAGTGTCAACTTTCCTCATCCCACTGGCTCTGGGGTATCTCTCCAGATTCAGCAATAGTAACCTTCTTTCTGGGTTTTCCGCTGTAGGTTCCAGCCCCGCCTTCAATTGCATACACAGTGTCCATGCCCTGAATTACCTTGCCAAAGACAACATGCTCCCCATCCAACCTGTAGAACGCATACCACACATTGCCATTATATAACTAGCCTCGGGTGAGATGTGCATCATAGCCACATACCTATATAGCATGCAATATAACTTTTTTTCCCCTCCTCTTATAATGGCTACAATTACAAACACTCTGAAGGTAATTTCGTATCTCTAGAATGATGTAAGTTGATGATCCTCAGAAACTTCAGTGTTATTCTTAAAGGTAAGATTCCAAAAATCAGCATCATAGATGCATGAGAAAGTTTTCAATACCTCCTGTTTGTGATGTGTGTGTAAGCACACATGCAAGCATGTGGATGCGTGCACAAAAATACAGACATTTTCTTTCTTGTTTTTTTATTTAAATTTTTTAATTTTGGCCTGCTACACATGTTCTGTCAACTCCATTTGATAATAATAGCTTTGATCTTATCATCTTCTGTCATAAGCATAAAATTCTTGACTAAGCATGGTCAAGTCCGACTACTCTTATCGAAGCACCACAGGAGAAGCTGTCTAGTAGCAGTTAAATAGTTATTAGGAATTTAGGAGCAGATTGTATAATATTTTTTTGAATAGATTGTATAATATAAGTACACAATCTTGGACGGTTGGACCTATCTCAAAGAAGAAGAAAAAGTATACTATTGGAAAGTTCTGAAAAGAGCAATTATGCGTTTGTCTGGCTGTATACTCTGAAACTTTGTACAGAGCCAATTATTTCTGCTCATGATCTAATATTCAGAATAGCTTACCAACTAGCTTTGATTGTGGTGATAAAGAACTGTGAGCCATTGGAATCAGGTCCTGAATTCACCATAGAAACAACACCTGCACATAAACTGCAGTTTCAGAGGAATAACAATATAAATGAACTAGAAAGAATTAGAGAACTTGGAGCTTTAGAAATCCATAGATCATTAACAAAAACAAAAGTGACAACCATAAACGTTTTTAAATTAAACACCTGCATGTGAATGTTTCACTCTGAAATTCTCATCAGCAAATGTGCCACCGTATATAGATTCATATCCCCTCCCATCACGATAAACAATATCTCCACCTTGAATCATGAACCCAGATACGATACGATGAAATGGTGTTCCCTTATAGTGGAGCGGTTTTCCCTTAGCACCTTTGCCTTTTTTCCCTAAGTTCAAAGAAAGTTTCAATCAGCATAATGACAGTAAGAACAGCTTCTTTCAGTGATAAAATATCGAAGTAGGTCCATGTACCTGTGCACAACGCCCTAAAATTTTCTGCAAACCAAAGATTCAAGTATTAGGCAATTAAGTGGTATGAGGTAAACATAATCAATTCACAAGAAAGTGCTAATGTAATAAGCATGGTGCAAAAGAGGAAGCAAATGGGCACATCCATTTCTAATATAGCAATCAAAATCAGCAAGAAAATGCCACTGCATGAGAAGGATTACAGCTTATCACCATGAACTGCTGTCTGTATTCCCACATTTGGATATGTAAAATAAGGTGGATTATTGTCAACCTATTTGTGAACTAAATACCAAATTGTGACAAATTGAAAAAAATTAGGTTTCTAAAATTCTAACGTAAAGGCATTAAAACATGAAATGAACACGTACCAACAGTTTTTGGTACAACCTGACCATATAATCCAATCACAATTCTACCTGCAAATGTAAAGGTGAAAATAGAAGTTATCAGTGGATAGGAAACCAAAATGAAATCGGCGGAAGGTAGTTCATGTAATAGTATTGACATGAAGCTGTACCTAAGTGCTGTCCCTCAATATCAACATCCAGGTATACTCTGTGGGTAATTTCAGGCACCTCTTCTAGTTTCTCTTCCTCCTACAAATCAAGTTAGAGACTCTAATCAATTTTTTTATAGATACTGATTTTAGATGCAGGCCACTGTACTCTTACAGAAGCTGAAAACATCATTACTCAAAGAATAAACCACTCCAAACTACACCCGTCTATTCAGAAATTTTTGCAGCCCACCAAGACTTCACAGGATCTGGTACACCAAAAAGGCATGAATAACATGCAGCCATGTTTATCATCCCAATATATATCATTAACGAAGCATTAATTGACACACACCCGTGATGTTTTCTTTTGTTGGGGTGATATAAATAGAAACCAGAAGTCAAGCACCAAAGATCCCCCACTACCCACACCCACCTACACTTACATTCTGGTATCTGTTTTAAGCAAACCGGCACAGTCTCTGGACATTACAGATCCCACATGGGGCTAGAGAACAGAACCCACAGCTAGTAACTACGTTTCAAGAAACAAAATGCTTGAATCTGAAACTATGTTTCATTTACACAGTTTGACCAACATACAAGGCTCCATTCATAAGCAGTTGTTCAACATTTAGAACAGCATCCCCATCTAACCACTCTTAACCATTTCACCATTTAACAGATTCCAAATTATTAGTACCCAATTAAACATTCATTAAATAGAGTATCTGTGACTAATATGTCGCAAATTCTGATTCCCAGATGCCATAAGCAAGACACTCCAACCAAACCCATATGAGAAAGCAACCCGCACAAAGCATCCAGGTCATAAAGCACCAAAATTTCAACAAAACACATCAAACCCACATTGTAAATCCCAGGTTTCAGCACAAAGAGCTACAAATTGGCACTCAGATCCATGAAAGCTAAAAAGCTTACCTTTTTATGGGTGGAAGAGAAGACGAAAATGAGGAAAATGGCGAGAACGAGGAAGATGAGGAGGGATCGTGGCTGAAGCAGAGCGGAGATTTCTCGACGCATCGTTTCAATCCTCTCTCTCGCTTTGTTTATCTGAATTAAGGAGTAGGCTTATATCTACCACCTGCTTGATCTTCCATGTTACTCTCTCTCTCTCTCTCTCTCTCTCCTTAATAGAAAGACCAAAAATACGGTGCTGCCAGTGACCTCTGAACTCAGACAGACAGACAGACAGACTGATGAGAGAGAGGCAGAGAACAAAGGCCTGGAATTTCCGGTCCAACAGACACAATGAGAAAGTTTAGGTGCTCTTCTAGTCTTACTTCACATTTTTTTTATTTGGGTAAAGACGCGATTCCCTTCTAATAATCTTTTTTTATCTTTTTTTTTTTAGAATGATTAATCTTATTTTATTAAACAAGTACAAATGATTTATGATTATTTGTTGAGGGCATTTAGTAAATTTAAATTTGAAAAAAAATATTGTTGAGGGCATTGTATTGTTATTATTTTTAAATAAAAAAAATGTGTCTCAGCATAGTATAGAGGCAAGGATGAAATTAAATCATGTTTCTGGGTAAAACTACTCCGCAATGTACAGATGTTGGGCATTTATGTTGTTTTTGGGTTAGGTCCCTTTGGGACATTGATTTTGTGTTAGATATTCTCATTTTATTAAAAATTAAGCGAATAAATTGTCTATGTGTTGGACCGAACAGTCACGCGTATAACTTAAAATTGATCAAAATTTAAGAAATTAAGTCATATCTATGCATATTTTGAACTGCAACAGTACAGCAAAACGCAGATCCAAATGACTTCAAATTCTTTTCAATGACCCTAAAAAAAAATCCCCCCACAGTAGTGTATATGGCATCCCTTGGGCCCTCAAAAAGGGATACAGAAAACTGACTTTGGTGGCTCCCTTGTTGAATCAAACTTTGGGTTGTCCAACCTTTTATCTCCAGGGACTCTTGTGAAAATCATGTTCATATAAGCACTTGCAAAATTGGGCCATACAACAATTATGGTAGCAGAAAGTTGAGCTTTACGTTGTGCCCTCTGTTTTTTTTTATAAAAGCACTTGTGTTTCATAAAGATTTGAACAGATTGCTTCTGAAAAAAGCAGAGATGAGCAAAAGTGCTTTATTTATATAAGCTTCCAAAAAGGGCCCTAAAGAAAAATGAACTTATTAGATTGAACAAACTTTTATCTCTGGCCTGAACCCAACCTAAATAGGGGCCTCTTTCTTTTGGGAAAAGGCCAGAAGGCCCAACAGTGTAGTCTCATCAAAATATACTAATATATTATGTTACACTGTTGCTATTACAAACCTAATGATTTTGTGTAGAAAAAAAAAAGTAATGATTTTTTTTTTCTGTATATAAGCGATAATCTAAATACAATGAGAGAGAGGTTCCTCACACACACTATCAAGATTCGATTCCAGCGAATGATGACGCTATAGCTTCAATCCGATTAATTCTTAACAAATTAGTATTTGCAATTTGTGAGGGTCGTTCTAGCTATATACGAAATTCTTGATTAATAATAAGATAAGTAAATTTTTTGGGGAACTCCATAGAATAGATTAAGCATAAGTTCTATTACAAGTTATCGAGCCCATGAATCTATTTCCGATTTTTGTTATGATTCAGTTCAATGGTTAGTCCTTGAATTTAGAAAGAATACATAAATAGAATAAGAAAAAGCCCACTTCAAATTAATAGTAGTCGTATTGCGAGACGAAAGAACTCCCGATCTATCAAAATATCAAATATTTATAAATAAAATAAAATTCTTTACTTTATTATATTATAATTTATTATAAAATATTTTGTTTTAATATATGACGAATTTAGTATTTAGATTTGTTACGGGAGTTCGAACCTGAAAGCAAATTCATTATCCACACTAAACCTAATGATTTTGACATGCGAATCCAAGAGTACCGTTTATCCAATAGTAGGTCTTGATCAATCAAGTACAACCGTTGGCTAGATTTTTTGCAAAACATTTTAAACAGACAAAGTACTGACTGTACTGCATAAACCTAATTCATGATCCATTTCATGATGTAACATCTAACCAAACTCCTATTTTAATTTATTGAGATTGTCGATTTGTGCGTATTTAATTAGCAACCTGCAGTTCAAAGAGATTTAGAAAATTATGCTAAATATCTTTAATAATAGACAGATTATGCGTGTCATCTTGGAAAAAAAGAACCTTTAATACAAAAAATTCTTCAATGTGCGACCATATCACCATACAGTGTATCATTGTTGTGATTACGATTGCGATTACGAGCATACTTTGTAGTGGTGAATATAAGACTTGTAACATCACTAGTAAGAATATCAAATATCCACTGATATTCTTGCTAGTAATGTAAACCTTACTATTCGTCTTTGATAATATTCTCCCATCGTTTGACAAAAAAAATATATAAAACTCGTAACATAGAATTCACACCGCGTTATAATTTGTGTGAATTTAAATCACTCTCACGTCGTCTTACACAAAAAAGAAAAAAAGAATTGAAGATAAATACAAATTGCAGCTATCTGTGCATGATTCACGCAGCACATCTTGTTTTCTTTCCCCTGTCTTTTGCTCATATTCTGCATATTCCGTGGAAGAAACCCTTTTGGCGATGAGGTAAGATTCCAACTTCCCAGTCACTCAAAAGTCCACACGTTTAATATTTTGTTGGATTGAACATAACTTAGGGCAAAATATTGCTATGTAACTGAACCATTACAAAAAGAATTCGGACCCCATATATGTCACCCAAAATTTGATCCGAATAAAATAACGTCATACATATATACAAATAATAAAAAAGTATACACAGAATAAAGCATGGCAGGCATGGCAAAGGCCGCATCTTTCATTTTGTCTCTACATTCAAGAATGCCCTTTGACACATACAAGAGGACATGTATATATAGAGTGCCGGCCGGCCCTCCTCATTCAATGTTCTGGGAAAGTTTTATCATGATAGGGTAGGGCGAGAGGAAATTAAATTATGAAACCAACTTTGAGTAGCGGATTCATAAATTTTTTTGTTGACAACTAATATATATGTCATGTCGGTCGCTCTTCTTGGGTCCATATAATATGGGTAAAGAAAATTTTGGGGATAAATAATTGAAAGGACATTGATATTTTTGAAAGGCGTGGTTCATTTTCTTGTTCCCTATGTTTAATCCATTTGCCCAAGCAAAGCCCCACTGCCGGTGACAAGCATAGCATATATATATTATATTTTGTGGCTGTCGCTTTTCCAAGTACCATCATTAGCCAATTTAGTCGAAGAAATATTTATGTGGATGTTGTTTGAATACTTGAATGTAAATTATTAACCAAATGACATGAAGGCTGAGTTTGATTGTTGCTCGTTTTGAAACCGTCCCTTGTTTGCAACTTGGGCCTTTGAGGCCTCATAATTCAAACTTCAGATAAACAAGATTAGAAAAAATCGCGACTTTCAATTACTTTAAGTGATTTTATGGAAAAGTAGGTGGGATGTGCTTCTTTCCGTAAGTAATTCTTGCATATTCAAAATCATTTCCAAGTGAGCTCTAAGTGTACAATAGATAACATTGAATCATCCAACACAAACATGAGGTAGACGTTTTTTTTTTTTTTTGGAGAAATTATAGGATTGCATTTATAATTCAGCCAAAAAGACCACTAGCCACAAAGGGCAATTACAATAACTGAGAGGTCTAGCATCAAAATTAAGACAATTTGGTGCCCCTCCACTAACGATCACACACGATCGAATAAACTCTGACATATGCATCCCAACTAAGACTACAAACTTAGAATAATCAAACAGATATAAAGCTTGAAAAAACCAAACCATAACAATACAAATAAAACTCTCACAAAAGAGATATGGAAAGCTCTCACAAAGGAGAGGTGAAAAGCTCTTACAAAATGAAATGTGAAAACTACACAGAGAGCCTAAAGAGTATCTGCAACTTATTCTAAACATAAAGAAAACGCAAAAAGGATGATGTGGAGATTTGCCCAAGCAAAGCCCCACTGCCGGTGACAAGCATAGCATATATATATTATATTTTGTGGCTGTCGCTTTTCCAAGTACCATCATTAGCCAATTTAGTCGAAGAAATATTTATGTGGATGTTGTTTGAATACTTGAATGTAAATTATTAACCAAATGACATGAAGGCTGAGTTTGATTGTTGCTCGTTTTGAAACCGTCCCTTGTTTGCAACTTGGGCCTTTGAGGCCTCATAATTCAAACTTCAGATAAACAAGATTAGAAAAAATCGCGACTTTCAATTACTTTAAGTGATTTTATGGAAAAGTAGGTGGGATGTGCTTCTTTCCGTAAGTAATTCTTGCATATTCAAAATCATTCCAAAGCGAGCTCTAAGTGTACAATAGATAACATTGAATCATCCAACACAAACATGAGGTAGACGTTTTTTTTTGTTTAGAAATTATAGGATTGCATTCATAATTCAGCCAAAAAAACCACTAGCCACAAATGGCAAATACAAACTAGCCACAAACGACAATTACAATAACTGAGAGGTCTAACATCAAAATTAAGACAATTTGGTGTCCCTCCACTAACGATCACGCACGATTGAATAAACTCTGGCATATGCATCCCAACTAAGATTGCAAACTTAGAATTAAAAAAAAGAAGATAAAGCTTGAAAAAACCAAACCATAACAATACAAATAAAACTCTCACAAAAGAGATATGGAAAGCTCTCACAAAGGAGAGGTTAAAAGCTCTCACAAAAGGAAATGTGAAAACTACACAGAGAGCCTAAAAAGTCTCTGCAACTTATTCTAAACATAAAGAAAACGCAAAAAGGATGATGTGGAGATTCGACGCCAAGACGCAACCACTTGTTATGGTTGGATGAAAATCATAACAAAACAAAGACAAATAGGGAAAATCATTTGTTTTTGAAAATGGAGGAAGAGGTGAAGGGAGAAAGAGAAGAGGGGAGAGGGGAGAGGGGAGGAAGAACAATGACTTTCTCCCCCTCAAAGTGAAAACGACTCCAGAAATGTTTTTTTAGCATAAAGGGGGATAAGATTTTTTGAGACTAAAGTCATGTTGCTAATCGTACGTTTGATCTTCCTATGAGGTTAATGTTCTTACCACTTTGTTATATTATCCAAACATAAGAAAACTACTCTCCCAAGTAACGTTAATTTTCTCTCATTTTGTCATATTACCCAAACATAAGCAAACTACTTTTTTTTAAAGCCGTTCTTTATGTGTCATAATCACTGCTAATTATTTAATTTGGACAGGTGAGGAGGAGGAGGCTACCTAATTGTCAATTATATTGGCTATGTCATGTCATCAACTTGCAATTTCTGGATCACGTAAGTTGTGCGGCCACCGTACCGATCTGTCGACCGCACAGCAGAATTTGGACGATTCTGGTAGCCTTTCACATGCCATCAACTCTCTCTCAATTTGAAAAATCAATTGGGGACCCTACAGATTTCGCTTTCTATATCGATTTCATCTTCTTCTTTTTTCTCCGTCTAAAAATGTGCGTAGAATTCAACCAAATTTCATTCTCATTCTTTGATTTTTTTTCCCCTTCTTCTTCTTGTTGTACCTACCTAGCTGCCCCCTCTCTTTAAACATTCGAGATTAGTTGAACGACAGTTGTTATATTTTGCTCTTAATTTAATTTTCTGCTTTCGAAATTTTAGAGAAAATTTGAGTAAATATAAAAATAAACATAAACTAGTCGTTGGTTTTGTGATAAGTTCGATACTTGGATTTTCTCATGCTAGTTTGCAAGACTGTTTGTAATTAAATAGCAAGCATATTTCGGTACAATTTGTTTGTATGGGGGCATGGCATGTTCTATTTTCCAATGTCGGTTTAATTGTAATTTTTTTTAAATCATTATTTATCCATTTGGATTATTCTCATGGTCATTGATCAGTCATGATCATTATTGGAAAAAGTAGAAAATACAAATCACTCATGATCTTCAAACAAGAGATGAGGTCTAACTTGGCGTCGCCTTATCTTAATTACTATTATAGATATTATAAGTCTCCCTTTTAGATGATACTTCTAAGACAATATATTTGATTGTTTTTCAACATTTATAAGTTCACCAAATATCGGCTAGAATTCTTGTCTCATTTAATTGAAATAGTCTAGTTCAATCTGAACCACAAAACATAGAATATTACAGTTTACAATATAATATGCACATTAGCCCACACTTGACACCCTAAACGAAACTTTACTCGTTGATAAACCATATAACTAGTGAACTAAGCTTTATTAATGTTGATCTTACATGTTCTAATGACATTTTGTTAGTTGATCAATGTAATAATTATGCTAGCTAGAGTCACTTTCCGATGGAGGGCCACTATATTGTGATCACATATATATGTGGCTCTGAGAAAGTACATAATTTCTAAATTTTCTAAAATTGTTGCGCACAGAGCCGACGTTAATGAATTTAAGAACGTGAATTGCATGGAACAATAGTGATGAATATTGGTAGGGTTTATGATATTGAAAGCTGAAATTTATATAAGAAGTCTTCCTTATCTTCAAGGCCATTGAATCCTTATCTTGTTGGATCTAATGATTAAGATTGATTAGTGCCTGATTCAATGGATATGGGGAGTTTTACTGGTAAAGATAATCAATCCATAAACATCAAAGATTCTGAAAACTCCAGATATATCAAAATCGTTTGATAGTTGGAATCAACTAACTAATTTCATTTTTTTTTCTTGGACAAACGATATGATATTTACAATTTACTTTTACAACGGGTCAAAATTTCCATAACAGAGGTACATTACTATCTTCTTCGACATCCATGTGAGTCGAACTTACCAATTAAATTTAGGCAATATCATGACTAGTTGATATTCACGACCAACTTCATTATTCAACATAAGATTTTTGGGTAAAAATTATAGATGTGTGATTATTCGCAAACTACTGTTTAAGCAACCCTTTGAATTTAGGAATTTATGTATAAAAAAACGAACAAAATATAATTTTTGTATTCAGAAGTAAAAATATATACACTGAATTGGCTTTGCAGGCAAGAGACAAGTCATTTGTCATTATGTCTCTGTGATACGTGGGCGTACTTTTATACTTTTCCGATAAAAAAATTGGCGACCGCTTAGTGAAATTACAAATAAACCTGATAAGCAGCCCACTGGAAAAAGAGTGGTCCATCCCACTTGCAGTCAGTGCCAAAATCGAACAGCCTGTCATGAAAGAGATGTTCTTTATTTTATACAAAGAATAAAATTTTAAAAATTTATACTTTTCTACTGAAAAATAAAAAGCATTTTCTGATGGAGATGAAAATAAAATTAGAGAATATAAAAAACTTTTTAGAGACACTTTTTAGTATGTGTAAAAAAATAAAAAAAATAAAACATAAGTAAGTTAGGTCAATTGGCCAGAACAATGAGTTCGCTTCTCTGCATCTAAATTCGAGACTCTTTCTATAAATTAAATTAATTTAGAATAATTTAATATAGCGCTGGTATAAAAAATAAAAGAGAGGATGCATCTATTTTTTTGTTGTTGATAAAATGCATCTATTTTTTTGTTGTTGATAAAATGCATCTATTTTAAGGTCCTTCACAATAGCATTTTAAAAATAGAAAAACAAGTTGTGCAATCAATGTACTCCACAATTTTTATTTTTATTTTTTTCAAATGAAATAGTTTGTTCTTATCTGCTTGATAAGCCAATGCCACCTAACGTGCACATGGGAGAGTTCTTATCATCCCCAAAAAACAAAAAAAAATTAACATGAGCATATGTTATGCCTAAATCAATAATTAATTTGAAACTAAATTAAAAAATAAATTTATACGTGATGAGAAAACTCTGTTAAATTGACTTTACTTAGGAGAATTTAATCATGTTTTGTCCTCTCAATTTTATTGAGCAAGGTTTTAATGAGGTTATGTTAGGTCGAGTATGTAACTTTTAACAGTCTAATGAAATTTTCTATTTTCGCTATGGAAAAAAAAAATCAAAATAATAGAGCAAAGGCAAAACAAAAGTTTATGAACGACCCCATTATTATTATTATTTTATAATCACTGGACAAATTTGATTAGTGATTAAACCATTAATGTACACAAAATAACAAAAACAGGTCAGATTTATTAGTAATTGGGGATTTCAGCACATTACAGACCGTCAAAAATACAACCTTGTCAAACAGCAAATTAAAAAATTCCATTGTTGAGAAAATTACGTATACGTCATGGGATTGAATCATTTTAATACAATTAGGGCTATCAAAATAGTTATTAGTAATTTTAAACTAGTTTTAAGGAATCTAAACATATTATGTACTAACAACTTATCACTCCAACACATGCCCCACCCACTTATCAATTATTCACACACACATTCTGCTTCTCAGTGGCTGCGTCTATGACTTTCCATTAATTTTGTACTAAATTCACTATTTACCACATTTGTTTTTAAACAAGTTGCGGGCTCGCTACCGTCAATTTGCCTAACTCACATATGCACTTTTAACGAATTTAGACCAAGATTTCTGTTTTGTCCCTTACAAGTAATTTTGTTTTGATTAATTTTATTTTTTTTTGTACTGTCAAATCCGCCAAAATTGACCTGAATCTGTTTTCATTGTATTTTATTTTCAATGTTCAAGATCTCTGTTGTCGCCCGCAAGAATTCTCATATGCAGCGCTTGAATTGCGGACTACTTTCTTTTTATAAACATTGGTTTTGTTTAATTGGCTTACATTCAGCGCTTGAATTGCGGACTACTTTCTTTTTATAAACATTGGTTTTGTTTAATTGGCTTACATTTTACTCACTGTTTTTTTTCACACCCTGCGTGACCCAATGACTCGTAAAACTCAAAAATCGAAAACTCATTTCAGAATGAACAAACAAGTGCATGAGATTCTAATCTTGAAAATAAAATTTGGTGACATGAAACGTGAAAAAATCGATCTGAAAACACCCACAAGCCTGCATTGTTTGCTTGATTTTAGTCTGAAAAATATAGACATCGTATATATTTACAACGGTTTTTGTGGTGCGGCGGCCATTTAAGATATGAAAGCCATGGAGGATGATGATTCTGATCCTTTGTTAGAGGATGAAACAATTGAAAGCAAAGATGAGGAAGTTAAGGAGGGTCTTGTTCGTCCAGCAGCTTTTAACGTAGAATTTCCAGAGAAAATCCCTCTGGAAAATGCAGCTGGATATCATGGAATCACATCTTCAAAAGAGGTAATCTTTCATTTTAGTTTTATGTTCTTAATGGTGCTTTAAAAAAATTTTAAAAGTCTTTTATATGCATACATGTCATAAGAGATGATAAAAGTTGCGTGACTAAAATTTTACATCGAGAATCATGTTCGAATTATTTGAAATTTAAAGAGCATGAAAATCAAATTATTTGTTCGATTACACGGTAGAATTCTATTCCTTGGAAGCTTTTTTGCTAATCATTCTCAACACTCGACATATATTTGTATTTGTGAAATCGTAATTATGTTTATAAACACGTGTTTAGAATAATGATGAGAATACACACATTTGACTAAGAGTAATGCTATTTGGACACACAATATTGACATACTTAGTGACACCCGTTGAATGCAATCTAAATAGTTAGCGATGGGAGGGAATGAGGGACACGTCACGTGGCATGGAGGTTGGCAACGAACTCGCTTGTACGGTACATCACGCGACCAAGTCACACTACGTCTTCCATTTTTCCCTTTACATCTCAATTTCATTTCGTGACTACAAATTTTAAATAAATTCATTTCGTATCCTTTCACGGAAACAGCTTTCTTGGAAATTGCCTCTCGTACCATCCATAATCCATTACATGGGATGCCGTTAAGGTACCATACACGGGAAAGAAAGTCAAGAATTTTCAATGCTGCTTTTCCCATATCTTTCCTCATCGGTCCCATTTCATTTTCGGAGTGTTTCTTTCACGGAACTTCTATCAAATCAATACGGACTACGATACAAATATATTTAATTATATATATATATATATAAATATATAATAAAATACAAGCGATACTAAACCACAAGAGAATAAGGTTTCTCACATACAAACTATCAAGGTGCAATGGGGGTTCGAATATAAGACTACTAGTCTATAAGTCAAAATCCTCTTTTACTGGGCTAAATGCGTTTTTAAATAAAACTTGAGATTACATGTGTTATAATATGAATAAATTAGAGTATTATTTTGACGCCGAAATATGACTTCTTTCTCGAAGCTCTCAAAATTAAATCAATTTAGCCCATCTGAAACTATTATTACCTATATTATTTGTAAATATGTATCGAATTTATCACAAATATATATAGCTAGAATTTATCACAAATATTATTCTCACAATACATATGAGTCGAATCTAAAATATCCACCAAGTAAGTAAAGACACATGCTAGTCGGCAGTCAATATTCTCCTTATTACTTTTGTACAATTTTGATTATACATTTCCTCCCTCTCATTATTCAACCTGGAAAAAAAAGAAAGTAGAAATAAGGCTTTTGACCGTAATAAAAGCGTCATAAGAAATCACTCCAAGTAATTAACAAAATCAATATTTATGGGTTGCATTAGGAAAATAATTAACAGACATAGGAGACTTGAGGCACTAGGAGGACGACAACAAAACTTCCGCAAGCCACTCGTCGCTTTAACATCAAGTTCATCATCAGTGGCCGCTTAAAAAAAGAGTTCAAACCCTAATTTTCTTTTCGAAAAAATGTTTTAAATATTTATTTCGTTTTCTTTATTTTATTCTCAAAATATCTCCTTAAATACTGGTCCTTCACCAGTAGCACATCAGCAGCTCAGCTCAGCTTTACCCTTCTTCTCTCTGTGCTTTTCAGACTGACAACACAATGGTGTTTGCTTCCAAGCGTTCTTCCGTTGCCTCGGCCACCAAATGGCTCGGCTTCGTCACGGCCGTCTGGGTGCAATGCATTTCCGGCAACAACTACACCTTCTCCAACTACTCCGACGCCCTCAAAACCCTCATGAACCTCACCCAACTCGAGCTCAACAGCCTCTCTGTCGCCAAAGACGTCGGCAAAGCCTTCGGCCTCCTCGCCGGCATCGCCTCTGACAAGCTCCCCACCTGGCTCATCCTCCTCATCGGCTCCGTCGAGGGCCTCGTCGGTTACGGCGCCCAATGGCTCGTCGTCAGCGAAAGAATCAAACCCCTCTCTTACTGGCAGGTAAAGTTACTCGAAAAATTCCTTTGGGACTTTCGTCGAACACTCAGAGTGCAACCCAACTGACAATTGATTCGATTTCTATTTTCAGATGTGTATTTTTCTGTGCATGGGAGGCAACAGCACGACGTGGATGAACACGGCGATTCTGGTGACGTGCATCAGAAACTTCAGGCGAAACCGGGGACCCGTTTCGGGGATTTTGAAAGGTTATGTGGGTCTGAGCACCGCCATTTTCACTGACATCTGCGCGGCTCTGTTTAACAATGACCCTGCTAGCTTTCTCCTCATGCTCTCCATAGCCCCCTTCGCCGTTTGCTTGACCGCCATGGTCTTCCTACGCGAGGTTCCTCCTTCGTCTTCCTCCTCCGAAGACCACCAGGAGTCGAAGTACTTCTGGGTCTTCAATGGCGTCGCCTTCTTCGTCGCTCTCTACCTCCTCGCCTACGACTTCGTCCCGGACCCTTCGGAGCTCTTCTCTCACATCTTCACCGTCATCCTCCTGATCCTCCTGGCCGCGCCGCTGTTGATTCCAGCCTACGCGTTCTTCAACGCGTGGGCTTCGAAGTCTGATCGGGTCGTGTCGGAGTCGGGTGCGGATACTGAGACTCTAGCGGCGGAGCCGCTTCTGAGTCAGGTGGCGGCGGACGACGCGCAACAGAAGGCAGAGGCGGCGGGTGGTGACGTGGTGGCGGTGGTGAGGAGGAGGCCGGTAATTGGAGAGGACCACACGATTTTGGAGGCGATGACGACTTTGGATTTCTGGGTGTTGTTTGTGTCGTTTTTGTGTGGGGTGGGGACGGGGTTGGCGGTTATGAACAATATGGGGCAGATTGGGTTGGCACTTGGATACGCCGACGTTTCGATCTTTGTGTCGCTCACCAGTATTTGGGGGTTTTTCGGCCGGATCGTGTCGGGTATGGTTTCGGAGTACTTCATCAGGTTGGTTAACTTAAACCCACTACTAATTATATTCATTAATGTCATATCAAAATTAAGAATAATTTTTTAGTAGCGTAAAAGTTGTATTGTTATGTTCTTTTTAACTAAATCTTGACCTAATTTTTTAAGATTATTTTTGCAAAGGTCAAGTCAAACCGGACTTTTTAAAAAAAATTCTTCGGTTTAAAAAATAATAATTTTGTGGGTGTTTTAGTTAGTGCTAACCATGATACTTAGATTCAATTACTTGGCCACTTGCAATTTGGTAGATAATAATAGAAATTGGAGAAGCATATTAATAAGAAGATCCGTGAATCAATTCCTTTCTAGGAAGTGTTTGTACTATGCTTGGCTTTTGGCTAATGTTGTTTTATGTTATAGAAAGAAGATTCCACAACTATAATAATGAATTCATAATAACAATTATTATTAGTACTAATCTTCCAACAACAACCAAAAAAAATTACTACTAATTTACTATTATAATCACCTTCTAAGAAAGTTCGATTTTTCATTTAGAAATTAATTTTCTTTACTAATAAAGCTGTAAACTGTGGGCGGCACTTTGTGTGATTTTTTCGATGTGAAACCGTCGCTTGGGAGGAATCATATTTGAGTGCTTGTTGTTATCACATTACGTAATAAGAACCTGTTTTTTCTCTTTACTTTTGGGTTTGCTTTTTACTTTCGATTGAGAATATATTGTTTGTGTAATTGGGTGATTTCCTATTTCTTCTCAACCCCCTTATTAATTTATTCATAAATTCTATAAAATAAATATTGTCTCCCTTGTTCATCCCCCCTACTCTCCTCTTTTTTTGTTGTAAATTCTTTCTGGCCGTTCCTTTACCATTTCCAGTTACTTTTGAATTGGTTTTGAGGTGATTTTTTTATATTAAAGGAAACATGGCTTTTGGGATGAAAGACTTTTCCGTTACCGTCACCGTCACTTCTAATTCATTTCTAAAGTCAGTGGATGCAAATTTTCTGTGGCAGGTTGCTTAGAAAGCAACATAAGTTTGGTCCAACTTTCAAGTTTGCTTGTTTCTTTTTCTACCCACGTTTTATTTATTTTTTATTTGAATTTTTTCGTTGAAAGAACATACACTTGCTTCTCATCAGGGCCATATTTTCTTATCCAGACATCCTTACGTTATTTATCGTGCGGACGCTATTGTAAATATGAAGGAAATGAGGGAAGGATAATATAAAATAAATGGCGTCCGCACGATAATAACATCTATATATACTTGTAGTTATTTTTTAGTTCTATGCTTTGTGCTTTGCTTTGCATCCCTAGTTTAATGGAGTGGTCCAAACCTAAGCTTTTAATTAACAGTTTATTAATTCTATAAATTGGACTAATTTATGTAGCTTTCAGTATTTGTTTTCATGTCCTGATATTTCTATAATTTGTGTTCAAATATATGACTTGATAGAAGCATTCGTTGTCTGCAATTCTTTGCCAACTAACTTTTCTGGTGGCCGTACATTTTTGGCTTGAAAAATCAACTGACATGCAACTCCCTCTGGTCCCATTTTTTTTTGCAATATTGACAGGAAAGCTGGAACTCCAAGACCCCTTTGGAATGCTGCTTCTCAGATTCTAATGGCCGTTGGCTACATCCTCATGGCCATTGCCATGCCCGGTTCGCTCTACATTGGTTCGATCGTCGTTGGAATATGCTATGGAATTCGGCTTGCCATTACAGTCCCAACTGCATCCGAGCTATTTGGTCTCAAATACTATGGACTCATCTATAACATTCTGATCCTCAATCTTCCACTCGGCTCCTTCCTCTTCTCCGGCCTGCTTGCCGGGATATTATACGATATGCAGGCCACAACCACGTCCGAAGGCGGCAACACCTGTGTTGGTGCCCATTGTTACAGGCTTGTGTTTATAATCATGGCCATTGCCTGTGTTATTGGGTTTGTTTTGGACATTTTATTGTCCATTAGAACTAAGAGTCTTTACAAGAAGATTCAAGCTGGCAAGAAATCAAAGAGAGTGGCTAATGGCACACAATAGTCAACCTAAGGTTGGACTAGGGAGGCCAAGAAATCTGAGGATTGATGGGCTTAAAATTTTGCCCAGTGATGTCCTCCATTTGGAATTAAGCTTCTTTTATCAATTTTTTATGAGTGCATTATGTTGCTTATCATCCATAAGATCACACTTGGAAGGAAGGAAAAAAAAAATAAAAAATTAACATCACTACAAAAATGATGTGGGTAAGTTGTTTGATGGGTACCCCTAATCCGGCCCATTATGAGATTTGTATTGATTAATTCTCGGTGGAATTGGTGTGTAATTTTTTTGGTAATTTGGATTAGTGTGTGTAATTATTTTCTTAATCGGTAGGCTATATTTATTCATCAAACAGTTCTTCTTTAGTATTTTTTTTCTGCGTTCTTGGTCTCTCTTGGCTTTACTGGTCTAGAAACATTGATGGGTTTGTTTCTCTTGCTGGGCTATTTTTTTTTTGGTCAAACGGATACTTCCATAGAGAGCCCCAAAAAGAGGCCAAAAAAAGCACAGATGAGCAAAAGTGTTTTATTTAGAGGCCTCTTTTTTGTGGAAAGGGCCAGAAGGCCCAACAGTGTAGTCTCATCAAACTAAACTAATATGTGGGGGATCTTTAGTATGATCTGGATTTTGTACTTGAACAAAAGAAAATAATGTTGCTATTACCAACCTAATGATTTTGTGTAACAAAAAAAAAGGAAAAAAAACAAATGATTTTATATATATAAGCGATAATCTAAACCACAAGGGGAGGGAGGTTTCTCACACACACTACCAAGGCGCAATAGCAGTTCGAACTTGTAACCAAGAAGGATGCAATCTGATAGTTTCGCTAGCCTCAGAGACGTGTTTTGATAGAAAGCCTTTTTTTGTTTTATAGAAAATTCGGGGATTCTGGGGTATCTTTTGAGGTATTCCAAAAAAAAATTAACAGGAGATAGGGGCAGGAATAGGGAGCGGGGCCCACAATATATTCTGTTAACTAAATAAACATGGCTGGAGGCAGTTTGCTAACGTTATATCCATGTTTTTGGTTAGTTTCTAACTAGGACATAAAGTTGTCATTCTGTTAAGATTTAAGATTAGGTTTTGGGCTGAACCGACCCGAATACAAGGGCTTATAAATAATTTTAGAGCAAGATGACCTTGTATTTCTTTCCACAGTCGATTGTAAAGCAATAAATTGTGATGAGTAACTTCCATGGATTTCACTTCGTGTTCCATTATCAGTGCTCAAACATGTTCTTCGCTCATTCTTCCCTCTATAGTCAGAAACACACCTTTGCTTGCATGACCTTCATACAGGAACGAGATCAGTTCGTTTCCTACATTTTCCTCAACTTTCCAGGGGAAATATCGTGATAGCTTCACTTTGAATTCTTCTCATCCGCTTGCATTTGGAGAGTATGTATTCTTTTAATCCTACGTTATTTCAAGCATTTTGATTAATTTTTCGCTCATTCTTCCCGCTAGCATTAGAAACACACCTTTGTGTGCATGGCCTTCCTACAAGAACGCGATCAGTTCGTTTCTTACATTTTCCTCCACTTTCCCTGGAAAATATTGCAATACCTTCACTTTGAATTTTTATCATTTGCTTGCATTTGGAGTGTATGCATTCTTTTAATCCTACTTTATTTTCAAGCATTTTGATTAATTTTTGTGTTTCTTAGTTCACATTTACCTCTTGTTGTTCAATTGTTGTTTGGATTCTAGAAACTACATTTTCCCCGAATATTCTGATAACTAAATAAACAGGGCTGGACGCAGTTAGCTAACGTGATATCCACGTTTTTGGTTAGTTTCTAACTATGTTAGATGGTTCGGACGTAAAGTTGCCATTCTGTTAAGATTTAAGATTGGGTTTTGGGCTGAACCAACCCACACGCAAAAGCTTATAAATAATTTCAGAGCAAGATGACCTTCTATTTCCTTCCACAATCAATTGTAAAGAAATAAACTGTGACGAGTAATTGCCATGGATTTCGCTTTATGTTCCATTATCAGAACTCAAACGTGTTCATCGCTCATTCTTCCCGCTAGCATTAGAAACACACCTTTGTGTGCATGGCCTTCCTACAAGAACGCGATCAGTTCGTTTCTTACATTTTCCTCCACTTTCCCTGGAAAATATTGCAATACCTTCACTTTGAATTTTTATCATTTGCTTGCATTTGGAGTGTATGCATTCTTTTAATCCTACTTTATTTTCAAGCATTTTGATTAATTTTTGTGTTTCTTAGTTCACATTTACCTCTTGTTGTTCAATTGTTGTTTGGATTCTAGAAACTACATTTTCCCCGAATATTCTGATAACTAAATAAACAGGGCTGGACGCAGTTAGCTAACGTGATATCCACGTTTTTGGTTAGTTTCTAACTATGTTAGATGGTTCGGACGTAAAGTTGCCATTCTGTTAAGATTTAAGATTGGGTTTTGGGCTGAACCAACCCACATGCAAAAGCTTATAAATAATTTCAGAGCAAGATGACCTTCTATTTCCTTCCACAATCAATTGTAAAGAAATAAACTGTGACGAGTAATTGCCATGGATTTCGCTTTATGTTCCATTATCAGAACTCAAACGTGTTCATCGCTCATTCTTCCCGCTAGCATTAGAAACACACCTTTGTGTGCATGGCCTTCCTACAAGAACGCGATCAGTTCGTTTCTTACATTTTCCTCCACTTTCCCTGGAAAATATTGCAATACCTTCACTTTGAATTTTTATCATTTGCTTGCATTTGGAGTGTATGCATTCTTTTAATCCTACTTTATTTTCAACCATTTTGATTAATTTTTGTGTTTTTTGGTTCACATTTACCTATTGTTGTTCAATTGCTGTTCGGATTCTAGAAACTTCATTTTCCCCGAATTTATGTATTTCCTGGTTCAGATTTTTCTTTCAATATATTGTTTGATTAATTTTTGTCTTTCCTGTATTATTTTTCATTTTCATTGAATCTATTGTTCGAATTTTATATGGCAACTTGTATTTCTCAGGGACCCTATGTTTTCCTCCACTCTCCCTAAACCCGTGATTGCCATTAGACTAGTTACCATGGATTTCGCTTCGTGTTCAATTATCAGAGCTCAAGCGTGTTCTTCTCTCATTCTTCCAACCAGAGTAAAAAACATTGCTTTGTGTGCTTTATGGGCTTCACACAAGAACGAGCTGAGTTCGCCCCCAACATTTTCCTCCACATGCTCGGTCACTCTGAATCTTGTATTTGAAGTGTATATTCTTTTACTCCTACTTTAATTTCAAGCATTTTGATGAATTTTTGTCTATCATGATTCACATTTATCTGTTTATTATTTTCCAATTGTTATTTGGATACTTTCTCAAGAAACTACATTTTCCAGAATTTATGTATTTCCTAAATTTTTCTTTGAATCTTGATTAATTTTTGTCTTTCCTATGTTATTTTTTTCCTTCAATCTATTGTTTAGATTTTATATGGCGACTTGTATTTCTTGGGGCCCCTCTGTTTTCTTTAAATCACACCACTGCTTTCTGCTTTCTATCCAAGTACGAGTGTACACATCTACCGTGGGGAACAGAGAACCGTCAGGTGAGCAAATGTAGTAATTATAGCCATATTGTGTAAATTTTATTTCAATAGCGAATCATTTTTTCCTTCAGATTTAAAGTTAGAGGTTAGGGAGATTCCTCATCTACAACTTGGGGAAATAACTTAGTTCATTGTTCCATTGCCCCCGGAGTGTGTCACCAAAGAGACAAACAAATATTGGACAAGTAGGGAACTGCGTATGTGTTCTATAAAGCTTCAAGAGCTATACGAATTCCACAATTGCATAACAATTTCACAAAATGTTAATGCTTGGAATAAACTGTACAAACAGCTGGTGAACTCCTTACTGGATATAATAGATGAATGCGACATTGTAGTTTTGTTTGGGGGTGGTCAAAATTCACCCAATCCGCCAAGGAGGAATTCCTAGTGACCGAGAATTCCTAGCGGAGGCGTTCCTAGTGTCACAATTCCTAAGGACCCAGAATTCATAGCTGCGGAATTCCTAATGGCCAAGAATTCCTAGCAATTGAGGTGTTTTCTTCAAATGTCATGGTGCCTTCTAAAAAATGCGGCCGATGTGTTTTCTTCAAAGGTCGTGTCTTCTCAAAAATATGATCGGGCGCTTCCCTTTGTAAAAGTGGTCGGGGGTATCCTTGCATAATTGGCCAAATGCTTCCTTTTGCAAAAATGGCCAGGTACTTCTCAAAAAGTTGGGCCGGGCACTCCTCTTGGCAAAAGCTAGGTCATGGAGGATTTTCACCTTGCGCACCTGGGAACCCTCATCGCAACACTCGGGCAAGCAAAGTTGGGCCGAGGGAGTTGAAGTTCGGCGGGAGGTATTTAATTCTATTAAAGAATAGTTGGCCCTGCCTTCGGTGCTCATTCCGCTAAGGCGAGACTACCCCTTGAAATTATATATTTTGGCCGCGGAGTTTAATCCAACACAACAATGAGAAGAAAGAGCAAATGGTGTACTATTGAGCTAAATTCTAACGACCACCGAAAGGAAGTATTTCCCGGTGGAGAAAGTTTCTTTGGCCTTTCAAAGGTTGAGCAATTGATGTGATTGACCAAATCCACCCAAAATCATCAAGTGACCATAAGTACACCTTGGTGGCCACTAATTTTTTTAATTTTATTTTTCACAAAATGGGTGGGGGCCGTCCCACTCAAGAAAGTCACCTAGATCGATGTGATAGAATTTACAGAGAAGGCTATCATGCACCAATTCGGCTTGCCTGAGTCCATCATGTCCGACCGAGGAACGACTTTTATGGGCGAAGCTGTCCAAGCCGTTGCGAGGAATTGAGGGATAAAGATGGTTTAATCCAACCGATACAATCCTTAATCGAATAGTCATGCAAATGCTAGCAATAAGATGATAAAAGAGATCTTGGAAAAGATAATTGATAATAATCCCAAAAAATGGTATTATGGTATTCTCTTCTCTCCAATACTTTATGGGTATATAGAACCTCGAAAAGGTCTGGCACAAGAACAACACCATTCGCCCTTACCTTCGGCCACAATGTCATCCTTCCACTTGAAATTTCGATCAAGTCTTTAAGGGTGGCCCACCATGCCGAATGGAGTATGGATGAATATGATCAAGCCATGACACAAGAATTAGACGACCTTGACGAGGTTAGGTTGGGTGTGTTGCATAAATTGAAAGCCCAAAAAGAGGCGATGGCTCGGGCATACGATAAAAGGACCAAGGCCAAAAGTTTTGGGGTTAGAGATTTAGTATGGAAAACTATTCTTCCAATGGGATCGAAGGATCCAAAATTTGGTAAGTGGTTTCTAACTTGGGAAAGTCCTTTTCTCGT